GTGCCAGATGCCATCGAATGTGAGCATTTGCCCACTCAAGTCGGTTACGACGATGAACTGCAGTCAGGTCGAGACCCCGAAGAGGACGACGAGCATGCAGTTGAGCTTCCCTGAGATGGTTTCTGACAGTTTGTGCAGAAATGTTTTGGTTATGCAAACCGATTGTTGCAGCAGCTGTTCGGGTGGCTGGTCTCAGATGATCTTGGAGGTGAAGATGCTGAATGTGGAGGTCCTTGGCTGGTATGGTTACACGTGGTCTGTGGTTGTCAGGCCGGTTCGGTTGGATTCTCTGAAACGCCTTTGGAGACGGCTTATGGTAGAGAAATTAATATTAAATTCATGGGCAACAGCTCTGATGGACATTCCTGCAGTCAGCATGCCAATTGCACGCTCCCTCAAAACTTGCGACATTTGTGGCATTGTGCTGTGTGATAAAACTGCACATTTTAGAGTGGCCTTTTATTGTGGCCAGCCTAAGGCACACCTGTGCAATAATCATGCTGTCTAATCAGCATCTTGATATGCCACACCTGTGAGGTGGATGGATTATCTCGGCAAATGAGAAGTGCTCACTAACACAGATTTAGACAGATTTGTGAACAATATTTGAGAGAAATAGGCCTTTTGTGTACATAGAAAAAGTCTTAGATCTTTGAGTTCAGCTCATGAAAAATGGGGGCAAAAACAAAAGTGTTGCGTTTATAATTTTGTTCAGTGTATATTTAAGCATTGTCAGTCATTCTATTGACACGCCATTTTATTATTATTTTTATTTTATTTTATTGTTTTACATATTTTTACTTTACATTTTATTTGTTACTTTTTGAAAAAAAGCTTTTTTTCCTATTAGAAATGTAAGTACTTCGACTTAAACTGAAACCGAACCGATCTAAAATAGTAAAATAGTTAACAATAACTCTGGTCTGAACCCCTAAAGTTGACTTTAAAACTGAACCCAGGTTTAGTTTCTAATGTTCTTGTTTTAAACATATTTAAGCATTGTCAGTGGACAATCTATTGACATGCCATTTTATTAATTTTTTATTAATTTTATTAATTAATTAATTAATTTTTTTACATATTTTTATTTTACATTTTATTTATTACTTTTTGGAAAAAAAAATTTACCTTTTGAAATTTCTGTTTTGTTGTTTTATTATTTTTACAATTTTTACCAACAATAACTCTGGTCTGAACCCCTAAAGTTTACTTTAAAACTGAACTCAGGTTTAAGCTCTAATGGTCTTGTTTGAATTATTTTCCAGGATTGTCAGTGGACGCTCTGTTGAGGACATCACGGATGAAACGATCCTGCGAGAGGCAGATGAACAGGAAGAGAGCGGCACTGAGGATGATGAGACGGCTGGTGTTTTCTCTGTCAGTTATTCATCATCATCCAGCTGTAAGACTCTTGTGAATTCACCGCCTCCAGCGACTCCCCAAATAACCAATCAAGAAACAGAAGACCAGCCACACTTCCCTGCCTTGTCCTGTGCTAATGGGATTTGTAACAACTTCCTGCTACAGCAAGACCCCCTGACAGGAAATCTGACCCTGCTTCCTGTTCAGATCGCCGTGCTTCAGCCAATCACAGGCGCGGATGAAGCTTCTGATGGCAGTGTGAGGAATGAAAGCGTCTGTTTGACCCACAGAGACTCGGCAGTGTCTCCTGAAAGTCCAGTGACAGATATAAGAGTTCAGCCCCACGCTCCGCCTCACTGTGTGAATATTAGCCCGTCACGCTCGCGTCTGCAGCACATCATTGAGCTGCTCAGAGAACAGTTTGCTTTTGATGGCTACCTGAAGAATGGAGTTCAAGATCTGGCTATGGGTAAAAAATTTATTTGCTTTTTTAAAGACTTATTTTAACTTTTCTACATATTTTACTAATACTCAGGGCCTAAAATTAACACTCGACAAGCACCAAATGTGAGTAAAAATCGCCGTTGGCGAGTATATGTAATAGTGTCAGTCGCCAGTAAAACTTTTATGAAATATAACAATGCAATGTAGCGAGAACACGTACGCTGTGCCGCTTCAGACAGCACACCAGTAGTGCTTCAACGGACGAAAACACACACAGTTACGTCAAAATGTTGGCGAGTTACCTCGTAAACGTAGTCTTAAATGAGTTATAAAGTCTTAAATGACCGTAAAGAGTTTGGAGAAAATAGGATATGCCACCTAGTATGAGAGCCTGTTCTAGTACACCCCCAAAACAAAATCAAGACTTTGTAAAAGAGCATAATACGACCCCTTTAAAGTAAAACCTGCTGAAGTCTGTCATTGATGTAAATCAAAAGAGAAATCACTCGACTGCTCTAGTCGCTGATTAATAAAGATTAATCTGTATAGTTTATAGATATACAATTTATAGTTTGTGAAGATTGTTTTAAAATCACTTAATATTTCAGAGCCTATTAAATGTTAATTTAATAGTTTAATACTACTTCATTAATAATGGGCTACTTAGTAAAAAGATGCCATTAAAAAACATATTTTAAAATATAATGTGTTGATGTTGTTTCTACATTAATTTGAAGGTTCAATATGAAGTTATGACAATATAAATATGCAATTAATCATTATTAATTACAGAAAAATGTGATTCATATTTTATTTTAATCGATTGACAGACAGCACTAATGTTAATCTTTTATAGATTTTAGATTTCAATTTAATTCTAATTTTATAGGTCCCCCCAGAAAGAGATCGGGACGGCCCCCTTCAAATTTTCAAGTTTGATAATCCGGCCCTCAAATGAAGCTAATTGAATAGCCCTGCTCTAATCCATTAACATGGGTGCGGAATAAATATGCACATACGCACTGCAAACGGAGTGTGTGTGAAACAGGCGAAACACGACGGCCTGCTCTGTTTGACAAGAAAAAAATGCAAAGGACAAGAATCTCAAAGTTTTTTTTAGGGACCAAAAAAAGATAAATCAATAAATCTGTTTGTTGTTGTTTTTTTTTTCTTCTTGTAAGTAAAGTAAAGGACAAATTAAAAACATTGTAGATATGTTTAGTCATTGTAGTTTTTGCAAAATTTTATCACATCACCGGCCATTGGCAGGTGTGGCAAAAAGTTAGTTTTAGGCCCTGCTTATACTTTTATGCGTTTTATTTTAATATATTTACATTTATTCAGTTTTAGATTTTATTGTTTTTATTTTTAGTTGTATCATTTTTGCATATTTTATTTTACATTTTATTCTCATTTTATTTTTTGTTTTATATTTGTAAGTATTATTTTAATGTATTATTTTAATAATTATGTTGTTTTGCAAATTTTAAGTTTTAATAATTGTATTTTATTTTGTTATATTATTTTACACATTTTATTATACATATTAACAATATTTTATTATTTTTACATTTTATTATTTTGAAGTATTATTTTAATTTATTATTTTTTATATTTTAACAACTTTTGCATTTTTATTGTATTATTTTTACATTTGTTATTTTATTGATTTAAAAAAAAAAAATTTAGATTTTGGTATTTTACATTTGATTATTTTTTATTTTTTAAAGTTTAGTTTAAATTACTTTCCCGTGTTTAAAAAAAAAAAAAAAAACAGCTCATCCTTAAGTCCAGGGGCGTTCACTTTAAGAGAAATAATCTACACTAGTCAACATTTGAAGTGAATCAAAACCTTTCATCAAAGTTGTCCTAAAACCTAAAACCAAAATGCGTTCTAGTCTTAGGACAACTTTGATGAACTTTTTTTGATCCGCTTCAAATGTTGACTACTGTAAATTATTGTTTATTTGTTTATTAATAAATAAATAAATACATTTAAAAAAGAAAACTACACAATTGTTATGTTTATGTAAGAGTATGCCACTTTTTTTAAATAGTCTTATTCAATTCTTTGTTGTTGGAAGAGTCTTAAAGGACTCCATGACTTGTTGTGTATTTCCAGGAGAATACATCTTCTCTTTAGAAACCCTCCAGTTTGAGACCTTTTGTCGAGCGATAACGGAGAAATTTGGTGATCTGTACTGGGATCAGAAGCTGTTGTGTGACCTGCACCGTCTGATCAACCAGCATTCATGCCCACGGTGAGCATTATCAACACATAAACCCAGATCTTCAGCCGCTTTACCATCTGCTGGCCAAGTCAAATAAATGGATCCTTATTTAAGAATAATTAGATATTTATACTGGAAGACAAGACAAAAATACTAGGTAGGAAAATCCTACATTTGTTATTTTTATATTTATTTTTTTTGCAGTGTACCAAGACACATGATATGAGGAATAAAGACATATTATCTAGCTCAGTTTTGCTGAAGATTTATCCTGTTTTAGAGGGGTTTAATAAAAAAAAAAAAAACATGGGAAAAATAGGTTAAGAATTTTTTGCAGTTAATTCAGAAAGCAAAGCAAAAACATAATACTGTCTACTAACTACATAAAATCTACCAATTAATAAAAAAAAAACTGAATTGAAGATATATTATCTTATCTATAGTTCTGCTTCTTAAGTAGATGTATCTTGTTATAAGGAAGTTTAGAAAGTACGGAAGAGGATTAGGGCCAAGCAATAATAAAAAAATAAAACCATCTCAAAATTAAAGTCGTTAAATTTTGAGAAAAAAATCGTTAAATTTCAAGAAATAAGTCAAGATAAAATTGAGATTAAACTCATTCAATTTCGAGAATAAACTCGTAATGTTTAGAGAAAAAAATTGTTAAATTTTGAGAAAAAAACTTGAAATAAAATGTTGAGAAAAAACTCATTCAATTAAGAGAAAAAAGTAATTACATTTCGAGAAAAAAACTCGTTAAATTTCGAGAAAAAAGTCGAAATAAAATGTTGAGAATAAACTCATTAAATTACGAGAAAAAAGTTGTTACATTTCGAGAAAAAAATTCGTTAAATTTCTAGAAAAAAAGTCAAAATAAAATGTTGAGAATAAACTCATTAAATTATGAGAAAAAAGTTGTTAAATTTCGAGAAAAAAATTCGTTAAATTTCGAGAAAAAAAGTCAAAATATTGAGAATAAACTCATTAAATTACGAGAAAAAAGTCAAATTTGGAGAAAAAAAATCATTAAATTTCGAGAAAAAAAGTTGAAAAAAAATGTTGAGAATAAACTCGCTTTTCGTCCTTTTAAAAGTGGAAATCAATTGCTTAAAGCTACAGTCCGCAACTTTTTTTTGGTTAAAAATTATCCGAAATCAATATTTGAGCAAGTACATAAACAGCCAGTGTTCAAAACTATCGCCTTACTTTAGCCCGATTCACAACGGTTAGCTTATAATAATATTTTCTAGTTTGAGTGGTACGGGTAGGTTTTCGCGGGAAATTCGAGCATGCTGCCGCGTCATTACATCACGTCTGTAAACATAAAGAAGTTGTCCCGGCTACTAGGCTATCGCATGTGAGGATCCTGCAGGTGGCGGATCGTTTAAAGCCTTTTCTCACAGCAGCTGTAATAATTAAATGATGGCGGATTGTAATCCAGAAAGGATTATGTGTTTATGAAACACATGTGAATAAAATTAAATTATATTCCAGTTTTAAATATGCTTCTGATTACAGATAGCCTGGGATTACACAAGATTTGTATTTTAAAGACAACCAGTTCGAAGGGAGCATAATTTGCTTTTTGGGTTAAAAGAATTTCTTAATATGAAATTCGAAGAGTATGACAATTAGATTAGACTGTGCAGAAATTGAAATCTACACGCTAATACACACTATATTCACATAGTCATGTAATGGTGATGTTGTTAACATTAACAATTTGAGAATAAAGTATAACAATAATAATAATTTGAACGGTTTGATGTGATATGAGCTAACCGATCTTTAGATTTAATCACCATTGGTAGCGAGATTTATGGTAATGCTTTTTTCCTCAGTTGGTCAGAACAAACGTGGCAGACTTGTTACTTACTTGTTCAGATGGCAATATATGGTGAAAATGCTTATTTGGGTCATATTCCAAGACGGAGGCTAGAATCTGTGATTGCGAAGTACAGTAAATATCCACACCGGTGCGGTGACTGACTGCCACACATCCTCTTCAGAACATTAGATTCATCTGCGCTGGAGCCGCGC